TGGTAGGCCAATATACGCCCACAAAGAGATTTGGCAAGCAATGCGCAAGATGCTGAGAGGGTGTACGGTAGGAATTCCCAAGAATTCCTTGTACTGTAGGTTTCATGTGAGCGGTTTGTGGAGCATGTTGCGGGGTATCACGTAGCTTGCCTTTCAGTAGGCTCTCTGATGATCAACTGCTCTTGGGTGTAGTCCAGACGGCAAGCCAGCAATCAAGGACTGGAAACATAAAATTGGCCGGCTGTTGACTGCTGGATCCTGGGATACGGTGGTTTTGAAGTCGGTTTTGGAAGTCCCTCGCCATGGAACTGGATAGCATTTACATAAGGGGTGGGTTTGTTGCCATTTCCATGGGCCTGCTCGATCAACATCGGGTTTGATAAGACCTCAGGCGCTACTTTAAGTGGTTGCAAGTAAAGCCTCCGCGCAAGTACAAGACTGGTCACTGCGGCAGAGGCTATCTTATGGATACTTGTTGCATGTTGCGATGACCCAGTCAAAAGACGCTTCAATTCAAGGATCCATGTAGGCTTGATCGCCAAGCTTGCCATGTGAAGTTACAGGTTCCCCGGCCAAACGACGCGTCCACGCCGCTTATCTGTGCAGTCCTGGATGGGCCAGGACCTCAAATCGATGTCCCAGGTGAGGCAGCAGCCGCTCTTGCATCAGGTACACAGGAATTGCGAAGATGCTTTTAGAAGCTCGCGCCTCCTTCGAACGGGCACGTGCAGACGGCATCCACCTCGGCAAGTCCTAGCTTTCGACTAGCTGCGTGATTCGGCACGAGTTTTCCTTTGCGCAAACCACATCGTTTCTACAGTTTTGACGACAGAGGGACCAGACTCTTCTTCTGTGGGAATTTTGGCTCTTGTTTGAGAACACCTGGCGGCCAGGTGAACTTCTGCAACTGGCACAGCATATATGAACTGTTGACTAAGGCCTGTTTCCCCTCCACGTCGCCGTGCTGCGCACAGCCACCATACCTCCTCGCGCAGGATACGTTCAAAGCGGCACAGAATGGTGTCCAAGCTCTACTGTAGCAGAAAGACTTGTAGCCTGAACCCGGTACGAAATCAAAGGAGTTTCCTCTGAATGCCAGTTCCCCTGCACTTTTTGAGGCGAACAGACAAACTAGCCCCGAAATTGCCTTCACTTGCGATACTTCCGCCGCATCGTCAGCAAGAATAGTTTGCAGCTCCATGTAGCTTGACCGTCTTCCCTGAAAAGTCACACTATATCCACTTTGAAGTGCCCGTGAGTGCCGAGCCTGCGCACTTGCTCATCCATCCGCACATGCTAAGCCTTACTTCCGGCTTCACTACAAAAGTGGCGCGCGCCAGCTCGTGGCAGGAGAAGCCTCCATGATTGCCTTGCTGGCAGAGGCCAGAGCTGATCCTGAGGCCAGGCTGTCAGACCTGCAACGCTCCAAGCGAACTCCAAACGAAGCTGGTAAGCAAGCGGGCTGCTAACGATTGCACGCAGGAATCGGAAATGTGTCTTGATCCTGTGATGGATACTGGATGGTCGTTCCATGCATTCTCCTTCAGGCGCGCACGAGACAAGGTGTCACACCCTTGTCTTTGCTGATGAGCTCCGCCGTAAATGCTGGTGGCTCAGGAGATCCCAGGAGTTACATCTAAAGGTAGCGCCGCGCCCTCCAAGCTCATTGCTGAAAACAATGCCGCGGTTACTAACTAGCTCTTCGAGACTCTGGCACAGGCTTTCATTCAGAGCTTTTGAGCATGAGGCCCCAAATCGAAGCACCGCCATGCAGAGTCTCATCGACGTCAAGGCCAGCGCATCCAACTAGATTCCATCAATGTCATGTAACTGCAAGCAAGAAGAAGAGCAAGTGGAAGATATTGGAAGTAAACTGGTGGCTCATGGCATTGCGATACCTCACGCAATAGGAGACACTGCTGGGGGCACAAGCCGCGGCTTACACAATGCAATCAGGTTCTGTTAGCATGCACCGGCATCTCTCCAAACTGGACATGCTCGTGGCATCACACAGGGCCTAGAGGTTGGCGGCACAAAGAGAAGACAAAAGACTCAGCATTGCCACAAAGCTTCAAATTGAGGTGACATGCTCTAGCCAACTGTTGCCTGCAGCTGCATCAAGGCCGATGTCAACACGCCGATCGCGCACTGCGCTTAGTTGTCGGACAGTATGGGCAAGGGAAATGTGAAGGGCGGGCGTCAAGTTTTTTCTGGGGATTCAACTGATATCGTCCCAAAGAATTAATGCCTAATAGCTGATCCATATTTGCCGAATGCATTGTCAACAGCCAGCTTCCCAAGCTGGCAAAAGGCCCTCCTCCAGTGCACAGCAGATCCACTGTGCCGTCGAACTTCTCCAAACTGTTACACCTGGCGGGTGCTGCGTCAGACTCCAGGGGAGATGGCACGCGACCGCTGCACGCGACGGTGGCAAGCTGAGATTTGCCTAGCACAACACATACCTGCAGAGACAGAGCACATCATTGTCGCATGCTGGCCATCTGAGCATCCTACAGTGACATGAGCGTGCATTCCCAAACACGAGAACCTGCACAGCATTTGCCCAGGTCCACCACAATCTGCGGGTGGAAGCAGCTCTGCTGCTCGAACGCCTGACAACCTAGATTTCTGGGCCAGGTGGCCATGATGGCAAAGACAACCTCACCAGCATAGCTTTCCAAAATCTTCACGTTTCCAATGGTCTGCCCAGGTGCTGCTGATCCCAACTTGTGCTGAGCTCAGGAGGTAGAAGCAAGACTTGATTGACATCCACCTCCCACTGGAGTAGACATAGTAGACGGAGTGTCTGCAAGGGCCCACGAAGACGGCACTACGCCCCTTCACCTGGCAGCCTGCATGGGTGTTGTCCTCAGAGACGAAGCTCCCTGGGTAGCCACGCCCAGCCGGTTGCAGATTGCCCTGCGCTCTGAGATCCTGTGCTTGCGAAGCCAGCCAAATGCAAGGTGGCATCTCAACACTTATTAAAACTAAAGTGAACGTCTGCCCTGCAGAGGAGGATCCTATCGGCTGAAAGACCGTTTGCAAACCTAGCTAGCTGATAAGGCTCCATGCCGTTTGTGGAGCTCTTGTTGAACAGCCGCAGCTCGCTCAGCATTTGTTGTACGGGCTGCTGTCCATTTTTTAGCGAGGGGCCCTTCTCGCGCTTCGTTTGCCCTTACGAGGTGGATGTTGCGCATACGACCGCAAAGCGTGTCTTTGAAGTAGGGACTGGCATGACTCAGCTCCACCTGCGCTTCAGAGGTTTTTTAGACTTTTAGGCCTTCATGTTGCCGCTTCGGATGATGCTACCTGTAGGGTTTGACAGTTTGACGGTCTGTCGACCGAACATCATAACCTTCAGCACGGGGAACTGGCGAGGTGCGGACCCCAGCGTCGCTCAGTCTGGGCGAACTGCGCTGGACATGGCCAGGCGCAGCCTTAGGGGCTTGTTGGGCCTGTTTCGAGGTTAGGACTGAGGATAGAATAGAGTTTAGGGTTTGGCCTTGCGTGTGAGATGGCTACCCTTTGAGACTAATGTACCTGGCTTTCGCGATCTTGAGGTTCAGGTCGCAGTGAAAGTGCGCTTGCAGGCTTGGGGAACAGAATTCCTGAAGGGGTCCGTGGCATTGAGACATTCACAGTTTTGATTGGCTTGCACGCTGGTATGGTTTATGGAGACGGGGAGGGGTCGCGGATGGCTGGCGTGCTGCCTGCCCCATTCACCACTTGCCTGAGTCGCGCTCAACCTTTAATTCCACCACCGGCTTTTTTAAAGCCGATCGTGGACAAATAAACTCATGGACTCTCAAGCATCATACGAAAGCAGCAGCTGATCACATGAACAGAAAGACCTACGATGTGGAGTTTGGTTCACAGCCTGTCGTAGCAACCACTGAGCCAATGTTGGCTTCTGGATCCCTATTTTAAGGACTACTTGATAGGTAGTTTGCTGGCGGAATCTTCGGGTGGGGCCTGCTTCTCTTGCACTGCTTTTGGGAAGAGACTCTGAGTCTAGACTCACTGCCCCAGCGAGGCAACATGGCTTTCGGGCAGTTGAGGATCGCTTGCAGCAAGCATAGCCTGGGTTGCTGTTAAGGAACTTAAACTAAGTTACCATGTTAGTAGTATATTGTAAATAATAGGGTTGTCTTATTACAGCAACTGAACTTAAGTTCCTTAACAACAACCTAGTAGCATTGTACAGAGAGAGCTGGGCACGACTGCCCCAACAGTGGAGCCATGCGGAGCCTTTGCTTTCGCAAGGCCTCAAAGGCCTAGACCGTTGTATAAAGGGGTTTTATGGGGGTCATATAGGGATATGTTGGGGAATGCAAAAGATAATTGAAGGTACTACTCAGGGTACGGAGTAAGGATCGTCGCAGTGATGGTCGTAAACAAGCGCAGGAAGCAAAAAAAACATAGCAAAGGATAAGCATTATCATCACAGTGGTGTAAGTTTATTTGCGGTGCCTTTAGACACAAACTGCTGTCCGACACGTGGAATTTTGAAAACTCGCTGCAAAGCGTAGGCTCGACCTCCAACATCTTGCCAGTTCAGGCCGTAGCATGCACTGCTTACTTCCCCAAGCCTTTAGCTGTATCTTTCAGGCCCAAACATCCAGGTGAGGAGAGTATGACGGTGAGGAGGGACCTGTTGATGCTTGTAGCCGCGAGTCATGGCTTTTGTTTCAAACCAAATCTGCCCTGCTTGTTCAAGAGGAGCTGACCTCCCGCTGACGCATGATATACAGGAGCAATAGTCTACGAACCTGAAAACGAAGTTCCGAGCCTGTTTGGTCAAACATGTTGCTCCAGAGGCAGCAGGGCAATGAATCCAGATTCGGACATAGGAATTCCACCATGTTTTCTATGGCAAAAAGTGCAAAAGCTTAGTTCGTATTCTTCCTGCGAACAACAGGCTATAAGGGAGCCAGCAACAATCCCTTCCCCACCCAAAGCCCTAAACCTCTGTACACTCATGACAAATCTCATGACTTAACATGGCCCGTTCGGAATCGCGCCTCTGGACCCGCAAGGTGGAGGCGACTTGTCTTGGAGTCGTTTTCTCATGTAGGGGGCGCTGAGGTTTCGAAGCGATGCATCCTTTGTTCAGGATCCATAGGACCCGCGGTTGACACACTCACCAATTTTCCGATGACTATTGTAGCCGGACAGTACATAATAATAGTGAATCATCTAGATTGTATTGCGTGGTTTGGGCTCGAACCCGGTATTGAAGAGGGAAACGTCGGCTTGAGCAATGCTAAATCAGGCCCCGGGAGGGTGCAGGGGTTAGGCCATGGTAGGAACTATTCAGCGTGGGGGCCTAAGTGGACTAATCATGCTAATGGTTTGTTTTGAATGGCCCTCTGAATCGTGCGTGCAGAGAGCACAACGGACGTGCAAACATCAGGAATGCACAGGATAGTGTCTCATGGCGCCCAGGATTCTTTTTTAGAAAACATAAAGTCCAGCTCGTGGTGATCTCAAATGCTGTCAAGTGCCACGAGTGGAATTCAGTCCAGGACTTGCGCACATTCACTGTTGCTTGAATTGTGAATCATTAGCGAGTTTTGCTATCTCCTTTTGAATGTGGAGCCGGGCGCCCTGATGAAACTTTCCAATTCTAGCGCAAAGTACGACAATCCTCGTTGTGGGGGTTCCCCACATGGGTTGTTCTCAAAATTATGGGCCCCTTTTGGTTATAGCTTATATTACGGCACCTCCTATTCAGGGGTACAAAAATGGGATCCTGGTTTTGGGAACTGCCTACATGAGACCACCGCAGCTGCAAAGGTGGATGAGGCACGCGGGCTGAGCATCTCTCTTATCGAGGATCCCACTCTGGATCTGGGAGGCCGACAGAAGGAAGTTTAGTTTAGTGATTGTAGGGGGAATGGAAAAGAAAATAGACACCATGATTAGGTTAGTATCTAGTGCGAATGGAAAAGGAAATGGATAGGTTCTTAAAATCCATGGCTGATTGCTGAAAGATTCTCTATAGCAAAGGATCCTGCGACTACAGGTGTAAAGGGGGACGGGTTCGACTGTCAAAATCCTCAGGTGCTCTCTTGCTGAACTACGTAGTAGGGCTGACCCAGATACTGTCAGAATCATGTCAACTTGGCCATCAAGTGAGCATTCACGTGACCCCTGCTCGGGGCATCCGGAGTCAAGCAACTCCCAACCTCTTCATTTCATGCTGGCAACACTCAGCTTGGGGAGCCCTGCATATCATAAGTCCCTGCAGAACCCTAGCAAGTGCCTCGAGTACGCTGTGATATGAGAAGCGGCAGGTGATGATGCTTGGTGCGCCTGGTGCCTGTGGCCAGCTGCGAAGGCTCCAGGATGCAAACGCCAAGCGCATTTGAGTTCCAGGGTTCATACCATCGCCGCCCCAGAGTGGTCCACGGAGTGACCAATGTTGGCTGAAATAGGTAAAACGTGCACAATTTGAGAAGCGTTCACATTAACTTCCTGGCCAGGTGGGCTAAGAAAAGCTACTAGGCTTCTGGTCCGCCATGCAAGCTTGCCCTAAATCCTGCGCCTTGGGCTGCAGGATGCCTTATTCCTTTGTTTCTCTTCCCAACCTGCAAGGCTTGGGTAGGAATGAAAGGTTAAGACGTGCCACTGAGAGCCCAGAATGCCTTGCTTTCGCCATCAATAACCCGCACATGAAGGCCCACTTCAAAGCGCCTGATAATTAACGTTCCAGGAGTGATGCCATTCTACATTACAGGAGGACCCCCTAACCAGAATCTGGCCTTTGGTTAGCTAGGAATGAAGGAATGGATCCTTATCGTAGTCCCTATATAATCATATCCATTGTAGTAGTTTCCATTTTCTTTTCCATTCCTTTGGCCAGGAAATAGACCCCAATATACTACAATCCTGAATATGGGGACCCCCAAAGAGGGTCCCCTGAACTTTGAGAAACCCCCAATTGCAGAGCAGGCCTTGATGAATTACTTGTCTACTTGGGACGACGAAGTCCTGAAGCTGGGTTGCTGTTAAGGAACTTAAATAAAGTTTCCATAATGGGTATATAATTATATAGCGAATTAATAGGGTTTCCACAATATAGTAACTTAATCTAAGTCCCTTAAATTCCTATATACCCCCAGCTTCCATGTCATTTTCCATTTTCTTTTCCTATTCTAGGAGGGTAATACAGCCCCAAACCCTAAACCCCATTATAATGACTTATTTTGTATTCCTAAACCCTTGAGCCCTAAACCCTATATTATACTCTTATAGTAACTTAAATTAAGCTCCTTAACAGCAACCCAGGAAGAGCAGCAGCGTGCTCGAGCTGGGTTCGGGCTGCGGCGCTGTGGGCATGTCCCTCGGGAGCATCCGCATGTGCGCTATAGTCCAAACTCCTCAAAGGGATTCTATATAGGGGATTACATAGGGTTTAGGCTTCAGGGTCTAAACTCCTTAATGGGGATTATATAGGAGACTATTATAGGGGTTATTAAGGGGATACTGGATACTAGGAGTTTCGACTGTGGCTCAAGTATTCAAATGTATGGCGCTGATGCAAGGAAATTTTTACAGACGCTGTATAGCGCATATGCGTGTGTAAGCCTATGCACATGTAGGCATTTGGTATCGATGGCATAGATGTTCTTGGAGTGGGTTCTGGGCCTGCTTTCTGATTTTGGCTTGGCAACTTCACAGGCAATGCAGAGGTTGGCAGCGATCTTGAGATCCACATTTCTGTCGCACATGACTTCGCATGAGAATTCAATTCACATGGAAGCCAAGCTGCTGGCAGGTATGCTGCTTTGCGAGGAGGGAAGATGCCAAACATGCACCAAGCAAGCCCAGCGTTCATGTGGGGTAGAGGGATAGGTGCAGCTCTGACTCTGGCAGCATTTGACCGCCAAGCACAATTCCTCCCATAGCCTGTTCTGATGCGGCAGATTTTGAGCATCCAACCGCCGATGTCGCCTTGCAGTGCTTTGCAGATTTTGACCGGAGCTCTCCTGTTAGCTCGCTTCAGGAGCCAAGCCTACAGTCCTCACTGACGTTTACCGCGCGTTGCCCCTCCTCAAGCGCAATGTGACGGCCAACGGCCTGGGAGGACTTTGTCGAACGTATGCCCCTTGGCGCGTCCAGCCCGATATGAATCACAACCTCATGTCTGGATGCACAAAACTTCACCCAATATCTCCCAAGGCTAAACCGACGCAGACCCTGTTGTCAGGCTCTTCCATGGGGAACTCGCTTGGAGCACCTGGCCCCCGAGATTCGGGGCAATGCTCCGTTTGATTTGGTCATTGCTGCTGATTGCAGCAGCTTGGCTGGACAGCAATGCCGGCATGAATTTCCTGCACCCCATGCAGGTATCATCTCAGGTATCTATACTCTCCTTGCTGAGGATCTACAGCCCGCACTTGCCACATTAGATTCCAATGTGGGTGGCGGAACGGGAGCTGGATAAGAGTTTCTGGTGACTGCCACTGTACCGACTACTAAGTAGTAATTGTTAACAGACGAAGACGGCAATCCCCTCAGCACAGGCTACGATTTCGTGAATCCGGAAACGCCTAGCCCATCTATTGACGCGCTGCTGACCAGTGCTCGATCACTGGGTCGACGTGCCTTGATTTGTGTATCACGCCGCCCAAATGAGGTGGAAGCCTTCACAAGCTCTGTCTCCCGTGCAGGTATGTCTAACCTAGTTTCTGTTGTTTACAAGGAGGAGATGGATGCTGAGAAAGACTGTGTTCCAGAATGTTTGGTGTATTCCTTCGACTTCCAGGGCCCAACTGAAGCCAAAAGCAGGCGAGATTTTGGAATTAATAAGGAAACTTAAGGAAATAGTGATTACGAAGAAAAAACACATGCTCTATACAGGATCCTTGAGCGCATAGGTTTGGAGCCTCATCCCGTATTGGTTCCTATTCTATTAATTGAATCCGGAAGAGAAGATATGAAATGAGATATCCGGATCATTATGATTTTTCATAGGTAGATTCATAGATATGAATGAGCGGCAGATATTGGATTCATGCTGAAGGAATTGGGATTTGGGAGTTGGCAAAGAATATTATTGGGAGCTCGGCATATCTCGTATTATTTGGAATTTCTATATATTATATCAGAATATCTTTATAATTATATCAATTATTCAATATTTGAATGCTTTTAATTTATGATGAATTATAATATCGCTGAAATATTTGAATAATATTTTCATTTAGATATACCCTAGAAGTCTAACCTCCTCAGGAAATCGGTTCGTTATAATAAAATACTTGAATTATTGACTTTCCCCGTGCTTTATTGGATGGCTTACTTACCCTTAAAATCTCACTAAATCTCATTAGCAGCAATTGCTACTCTGCAGCGCTGGAGCAGCGGATCTACATTGACATCAACAAATCGTGCGCTGCCCGCATCTTTTTATGCACGTGCAGTTGCGCTATCGTTAAATTTGAGCATTCGTAATCTCTTCCTCATCGAGAGCAAGCGATACCGCCCATACTTCAGGCCAGATCGTTCTAATTTCTTTTTGTCACTCCTCAAGGCCCCCCCTTAGGTGAGTAGCATTCAAGATAGATATTGGTTTTGCACAAAAGTTGCGCCAAGAAATCTTTCAACCAGCGCATCGCATCTTCTTCACGAAACGTATGCTGGAAGCGGCTATTGATTCCTTAGATGAGCAGGCTGATGGGACTTTAAATCTGAAAATAAAATGATTAGAAAATTCTTGCATACTCCTACCAGCTCCTGCAGAAAAGGAAGTCTATTTTTCAGATAGAATACGTGTATTTTTGACCGGATATGCCAATTCAGCTTCAGCATCCTGGCAACATGCAATTAAGTAGCTTTCAGCCCGGGATTTCAGCTCCCCAATCCTCATTGATATCTTGCATAAGAGTAGATGGCATCGGAGATACCTCATTCCTGATATATCGGAGATACCTCATTCCTGATTCATATATCGCCCCTGCGCTTTCCTCTATCCTAAGGATGGTTCTGATATGGACGAACTACATAAATCTTAGCTCTATTGGAGGATAAGATATCACGAAAATTGAGTTTCCCAAGTCCAGAGGCCTCCCCTCATGAATCCATACCCCAATAGTCCCAATTAACAGCATACGCAACCTAATAGTCCAGAAATAGGTACCGCGGGTTGGATTCGATACGATGGAACCATTGGCAGAGCGATTGCCTGAGGAATTTTAGGGTTTAGGTTTATAGATTTTAAGGGTTAAGATTTTTAGGGCTTGGAGATTAGGGAAGCAAGGATATTATAATTTATATCAGAAGAAAGATTTAAAACCCAATATGCAATTTATCATTCGGGGATTATGAGGTTCCTATCCATGGGTTGCAGCTATGATTCATTGCCACTGCAATGATGGGAATTCTTTCATCTGGAGGTCACGGACGGTCATGCAATGTAGCTTATTCATGGATCCATGCGCAGATCTCCCGATTGGCGGTTATAGATTTGGTAAGAATTTTCTGCATACAGTCAGCCAACCAGAATGCTATGCATCGATCATTATAACCTTCGTGTCCCATGCGAGCGCCGTACTTCTCCGGTTTCCAGACCTTATATTATCTTAGTTACCCCTCATGCAAAACGCACTAGTGTACTTGCGGGCTTTAAAAGCGAAAGTCATCAAATATCCTTTTGAAAATGAAGCCCGAAAGAGAAAGGATAATGAATAAGGCAAAGAGCAAAATTTGGAACAAATTTGGTCTGCGAGCACTTGACACCACTTTCTTTCTGGTATTATTTGAAATCTCTGAAGGCTATGACCAGAAGTTTGTGTAGCGACAAAGTTTCTGGGCAGTCGAAGTAACCGTTCTCAATCAATTTCATCCTCGAGGATTAGTGACTCTTGCAACTTGCAGCACAGCATAAATAAAGTTTGATCCAATTTGGGGCATGAAAAATATGAAAACCGCAAGCCAAGCTCTTCAACAATTGCAAGCAGCAACGTGGAGCCAGTAGCATCTTGACAGACTCCGAGATTCACATTGTGAAGGCTGCAATGAGCTAGCATTGAGACATGAAAATTCTTCAGTCCAACCAAAGGGCCTGAGTCCATATACTAGTTATTACATTGCAATCAGTCCTTCATTAATTGGCGAACTCAAACCCCATCCTTTCAATGCAACAAAGCTCGATCCAACTTGGGCAAACAGCGCAGAAAGCTAATTCCAACCAAGAACCAAGACACACACATCATGAGGCTTGACAACGTTTACCAACCAATCGTTGTGGCTGATTTCTGTTGCCTGCCAAGTCGGATGATCCGAAAGATCAACAAAGCTGTGGATGGCATCCGCGTGGTTCTCAGCTTGGCACCTCCAGCATATATACCTTGTTTTCCAATACTTTTTCAGCTGGAATGTTTGGTAGTGGTATTCCCAATCTCCCTTGATTTCGCACACTGCAAACTTGTGCGGTAGTACCTCGCCTTCCGGGCTGACGCCATAGAAAGCGTGATTCAGGGATTCGACAATGGCTAAATAAAGGAGGTTCAGAGATTTGGGTCCCAAGCTGATGTCCGCATCAAGCGAAAACAATAACCATTGGGACATCCGTGTGCTCTTCGGCCGCCAAAGGGTTAAGCTCATAAAGCAGCCAGTGATTTTGGACTGGTCGTAGCCTGTACCATACCACGCTGTATCTCCATACAGTGTCAGGGGCATGTGATTGTCATAACCGCCGCCAGCAGCTGCCCAGGGAAGAAATTGATAAGCATGAGACCAGAACTTTGCTAAATTCTCCGCGTCAATTGTTAGCCCAAGATTCTGAAATAAGTACTTCAGGATGCGGTGAGGGAGCAAAACTGGGACTTTCATGTCGACAACCTCCTCAGAATCTCGTTTGGCCTTCACCTTCGTACTGACCAGTGTGGGCACCTTAGATCTCCCAGGGTTGACTTGCCTACCCTAGAAAAGCATAACATGACCCGAGCAATGTTTAGACTACTTCCACTTTGCAACTTGAGCTGCCACTGGCAGCTTCACAGTCCTCTCAAAATCACGGACAGCATTGCCTTCACGGTAGTTGCCAAGCTTTCGCAGCTTGCGGGGGACATGCCCCTTGCTGTCCTTAATAGATTTCTTGGTCAATATTGTATGATCCGGAGCCCAAAAACGTTCAATCTGATCCAAGCAACCATCACTGAAGATTTAGCAATTCGCATCTCCTTGCCAACAGAGGTCGCCTGATTAGATGCTTGCGGAAGATCCACATCAGCCAGAGCCGCAGAAAATTAAACATAACCCCAACTCCAAGGATTTGTGAAAGGACTCACATATTAAGATTCGTAGCTATGGGACGGCAGCAGCGATATTGTCCACCATATCATCGACAACATGAGATTCTTCTTGTCGTCGGGCACCTGCATTGGATATTACTTTGGCATAGGGATATTCGAAGGGCAGTGCAATTCATCATGCGTGTATAAGCACATTTCCGAACGTGATCATCCATGCATGTGTGCATACAACTGCGCTTTTCTTGTCAGCAGATGGCCCGTCGAGTCCTGATACGCTGAGCATCCCCTGCTTCTATGCGTGCGCAAGCCTAATCGACAGGGCACCTGTTAAAGATGTTTGGATCCAGCAAAACCACACTAGCAGCGAGAGCATATGACCGCAATTCGATCATAGCCAGCAGCAACAGCTACTTCGAAAAGCACCCAGGTAGGGAGTGGATTCTCTCAGGCCTTCTAATTCTAACTGGTTTGGGGTTCGGGCAAATTCAGGATTTCTCGCCTTTTGGATTGTTGGGCTTTGGGTGTGGACTTAGATTGAGTTGGGAATTCTGAAACAAATTGTACGAATTACCCTTCTAATAATATAATGGAGCCTAATAGTAATTAGCTTGACAGCCTCGGGTTTTTAGAGGGTTTATATTATTAAAAAAGTTCTCTAGAATCTAGCTTTGCAAGGTGCGCTGAAATTCAGCCTGAGCAAATGCACTGCCCTACTAAAGCCTTTCTACTCAGACTTTTTGTCTGCTGACTTCTTCTTGCCCCCAAAAGACAACTTTTTGTCCGCGGCTTCAATCTTGTTCTTGGCAGCATCCGTGCAGGATTCGATCTCGGCGTCCTGCGCCACTTGCAAAAAACGTTGTTCTAAAAACCTACATACCCTAAAAATGCAATCCTGCAATCCCCAAAGCCTGTCCTGCCCGGCATCCAGAGCCTCCTGCAAGCGCGTCCTTGCCGAGGGGAGCTCCTTGATGGCCACGTCGATCTCCTTTTGGATGGCGTTGCGAAGGTCCTTACTCCTTTGCATAGTTTTAGGGTTTATTAGGGTTTAGGGTGTAGGAGCTAGGGACAAAATTTATGGGGATTGCCGAGCTCAGAAAACTTGGGACAGGGCAAAGTGTTCTCGTTCGAAACAGGTTTTTTCTGGCCAGCATCCTTGATCTTCTTGCTCAGGATATTGATGACCTTGATATATTGCATGATGGGCGTTTTCAAGTAAAGGGGTAGGATTCAAGATTTGAAGTAGTATATAAGATGGGTCCAAAGGGGATTTCAATTTAATGTGGGTCAGCTTTTTCGCTTCTTGCTGGAGCTTTTTGTTGTTTTCTTTCTTCTTTTCCTCCTCCTCTTCCGCAGCAGTCTTCGTTTTCTTTCCTTTACGACTTTTCTGCTTTGACTTCTTCTTTGACTTCTTGTCCTTCTTCATTCCTTTTTTCTTATCCTTCTTGCCCTTTCCCTTTGACTTGTGCTTCTTTTTCTTTTTCTTCTTGCCATCGCTGGAGGTGTCCTCCAGCGACATGCGTGTGAGTTGACGGACAAATTTCATTGGAATGATTAGCTCACTGCA